GTAGGGTGAGTGAGTGAGCGGCTGCATGGTGCTTAGTTGCTGGCTGGGTCTAAACCACGACACAAGGCTTGCTCTATTGCCCACCCTAGCAAAAATAAAGTGCTCTGCAATATTCTGTGTTGCACTGGGCTCGGTGAACTGGATCACTCTCTCTGATGCAGTGAGGAGCCATCCGTGTGCTAGGTAAAATCTTGCAGAAGCAGGTGAGCTGCTTTCTCCAGCTCCCAAGCACACGTTGGCTCTCACTCATTCAGCAAAGCAGTTTTGTTGTGGGACAAAAGAGGTGACAGTCAGGGGAGCCAGGGAGGTGTCCTGGCCAAAGGATTTGGTAATTGCCCCCTCTGTCTCCAGATTATGTAGGGTCCCGATCTTCACTCACAAAGTCCACATGGAGATGGGATGCCTTTCCAGGGACATGCCCAGCTTGGGAGAGCCTCTGCCTCGCCCTGACCCCAGGCTGTGACTCCTTAGCAATGATGAGTTTAAAATCCTGATGGCAGCATGGAATCCCCAGATTGTGGGGCTGCTCTGAGTGCTGCATGTCCCTTATCCATTAAGGTTCTTCCTTTCTTTGTGGCACCAGACCTTCCTGCCTAAGAGAAAGTTTTTATCCATTTAATAAATGTTAGTGGATCAATCTGTGATTTATGCAGTCTTCTTTTGATCCCCTGTAAACTGTCAGCACCCACAGTATCATGTGGCACTGAAGCCCCAATTACACATTGAGTGGAGAAGTAATTTTTGCTTGTTTTGAAGCTGTCACGGGCTAGTGTTGTTTGGGGTGTCACTGTTCTTGTGCTGGGAGAGACATGAAACCAGCCCTTTCCTCCACCCAGATCAGTGATGGCTTCAGACCTCAGACATCTCTTTCCCAGGCTCAGATACTCAGTTGTTCTTTGAAAAGAAGCTGCTTTCTACATGATTGTGCTGGTCAAAATACTTTGAGTAGCTCCTCCAGGTCCCTTCCAGGTCTGACTCTTCCAGGTCACATGTGTTGAGCTTCCCAGCTCTCAGCACAGATACCCGGGGGGCTCCTGCTGGGACCCCTCCGCTCACACACGTGTACTCTTGCTCGCTATCCTCCAACAGTCATGTAGTTTCCTGCTCTTTGTCACCAGTCACCCTGGCACTGAGACTGTGGGAAGGGGAGTGGCTGTCTATGTCTCCTCTGGCCTCCCACCACATGTTCCCTGGGGACCGGACTGGGCTAAGCTCAGAACAAGTGAAACTACAATGGTGGTCGCTTTTGGGTTTTTTTACAGATACCTTCCAGCCTGCAGGACAGGCAAAGCTGGCTTTGGGGATGGAGCCACCAAAATCTTGCTGACAGCAAGTGGCTGGTCAGTGTTGCAGTCCCAGGGACCCCTGGAAAGTTGCTCCTGTGCTAAAGCATCCTGACTTGTCTGCAGCAAGGGAGGGGACAGTCTTTGCAGACAGGATCCCATGAATGGGGAGCCACAGGAGCCAACAGAGCATCTTCTGAACTGGGTGAGACCTTGAGCAAAACAGTGGTCCTTGTCTGAACATGCTTTTCAGTGACAGTATTCCCCCTTCCTCTGCAGCAGCAGGCTTGCAGCTTTGCTGGGATTGTCCTGTGCAACAGGGTGGCAGGGAAACCCCAAGCGAGGTCAGATCCCCCTGGGGCAGTGCTATAAAGGCACAGAAGAAGACCCATCAGATGATCCTAGAAGACTGCCATTCATACAGCCAAGGAGGATGAAAGGGGGATAAAACAACTTGGGGATTAAGAGAGAAGCTGAGTGTATGATATGGAGGGAGATTATCTCTCTGAAAAAAGTACTTTGGGGAATTGAAAGTGGCAGGGAGCAGCATGGTAACTGTGCTTGCAGCTCCCGCTGATCTCCTCTGCAAACTCCCAAGTGGAAGGAGGCAGCCACAGCAGGGAGATACTGTCTGGAGGTGAGGAGGTGCAGGGGTGAGTGGGGACCTCCAGCACAGCAGTGTCTGGATGGCACTGGGAGGGCAGGCAGCATGCAGGGGGGCTGAGCAGGGCAGCCCGTGGGGTCAGAGCAAGGGGCAATGGCTGGGTGGAAAATGGAGCCAGAACCTGACTTCCAGAGGGGGGTGCCAGGCTTTCTTTTTCCACGCAAGCAGGTGTAATGATGTGTGAACATCCTATGTCTTTCCTTGTTCCTCCTCTCTCAACCACTTACAGGAAATTTATTGTTGCCTTCTTGGTCAGGATATGCATCCAAAGGAGATTTATTGGTGCTCTCAGGGCCAGAGAAGAGAGATTTATAGGAGTACATCCCCACAGCACAGACAGGTAGACCCAGGACATAACAGAGAAGTCTCTGATTTACTATGGCAAATGATGGAGATACAAGCAGTCTGACTAGCATGGCTGGGATGCTCACGCAAATACACATGGAAGCCCAAACTGCCCCAGAGCAAGCTGGGAACATGGGAATGAACGATTCAGGGCCTGCCTATAGCTGTCAGCACTGCCTGGATTTCTGCCTGAAAAGCTCCCGTTGTTTCTCTTTGACTATGTATGTTTAACCATATTCATTAACTATATTCCACAACTGCCCTGTCATTGTCTTCAATATCCCATGGAGAGCTCTGCAATGCTGGCTGAGCTCAGCAGCTTCCCAGCCTGGGACTGAGCTAGAAGATCTGGGTCTACCCCTCTTCTTTTATTTTCTGCCTTTGATGCCAATCCCCCAGCCTCCTGCTGAGATTGGCATGGCCGCAAGCTTGAAGCAGGGCAAGACTCTGTGATCGTTTGCTCCAGAAACATGCACCTGGAGGAGAGGAGTTGGAGAGGATGAGTCTGACCTTGAGTGATGGGGAAGCTTTTGACCATCTCGGTCAAGTGAAGTCTTGGTATTCAAGTTTGTCTCCTGCATCCCACATGGTGGTAGTGGCAGGCTGAGGTCCCCACTGCAGCTCCCATGCTCAAAGCTGTTTGTGGGGCTATGCTGTGAGCTACATCCAT